ATCTATCTATTAAATATTAAATAACAGAGAAAATTAGTATAAAGGGGTAACTAAAAAGGATTAGTATATAAACATATATGTATAGCTAATCAGCATGCTTTATTATATATTTTTCTCCCTTCTTTTCTCTCTCTCTCTCTCTTATATATATGTTGTATATAAAAAGAGTTGATACCTGTGCTTCCTGGAAACACATATAAAGAAACATACACACACAAACACATACACACACACACATATATATACACATAGCAATCAGCCCTTTCATAAATAGTTAATTAATACATGTATTAATAGACAGTATATATTATATATATATATATATTAAATATTATAGAAAATGAGTTTAAAGGGGTAACAAAAAAGGATTAGTATATAAACATATATGTATATCAAATCAGCACACTTTATTATATATTTTTCTCCTTCCTTTTCTCTCTCTTATATATGTTGTATATGAAATGAGTCACACACCCACACACACACAGACACCAACAATAGACAAACACATATATAAACAAATACCTGAGCTTCCTGGCAACACATATGAAGAAACATACACACACACACACACACACACACACACACACACACACACACACACATACACAAACTTTCTCTATTTTATCTATTTACATACAAATATACAATCCTATGGTGGTAGTGCAGGTTTGATCAGAAAAATACAAGTAAGTGAATAATTTTACTGATATGGAAATGCTTTCTTCTATACCGATGCATGTATGAATTTAGTGTGTGATCATTGTGCAATGCCTGTAATAAAGTCATTCGATGGAGAAGTGTTTTCATCAGCCATCCTATGTAGTAATCTTTGTAGTGTCACAGCAGAGCAGGGCAGTGGTGGGAGAGGATTAGCAGAGCAGATACTGGGGCTCCCATGCTGCCTGTCTTATCAAGCTGTGGACTAGCTCTACAAGGCGACCGGAGGCCAGTCTACTGACATCCCAATCTCCCAATCAATTCCCCCCTCGTCCAGTCCAGCTCCACCATTTAGCTTTTAACGTCAAAAGCTACATTTTTGTTGGCTCCGGCCTGTCTAGGGCTCTTGAGATTTTACTCTGAGAGTGATTACTCTCTAGAAAAAGGCAACATCCACATTACAGAGTAATTAAAAAGATTTCCTTAGCTGGCAAAAGCCCCGTGACTACTAAAACTCTGAGCTTTTAATTTGTATTCACAGCGGGATTCTCTGTACAATCAGATGCTTACCAGAATTCTAGAATATTGAGAGGACCTCAGCTCTTGTCACCTACACATTGAGAATAAAGCTGGAGTAATTGCTGGCTTACAAATGACAGTACAGCACAAAAAAGAACAGTAGAGAACTGGCTGTGCTTAATTAGCTGGCTTGGCAACCATGTAAGTGCTATTGACAACACACATCCCATACCTACAGCAATAGGATATAATACACATTTGTAAAAAGCAAGTATCGGCTAAGGCTCTATCAGATATGACTGAGCATAAGAATTAAAGATATAAAAACATGTATCTTATGTTATAGTTTAGATATTTTGGGGTATTTTAATAAAGGAGTTCTATGTTTAGCTTGTGTTTAAACATCTAGTAATGTTCAGGGTAGAAAAAGGGGAATGGATGCACAAATAAAAAACAAAAAAAACCCCAAACAACTAAAAAAAAACCTACTCATTTTGTAAGCCATCTATTTCAGTGGACCCCAGTGGGAAGAGAGAAAATAAAACGGTTGGTTATGACAACCAGTCAACTGTCAGCTTTTATTTTGAAAGCCACAGCAGAAAAGGACAGCTTGAATCTGCTTATCATATGCAAACCTTCCACATTTATAATTCTTAGGGCTATATATGTTGGTATAGGATTTTATATATATATATATATATTTTTTAACAAAAGTCACCTTGCCCCTAAAATTGTAGTGATTAGTCTTTAAGACACATTATTATTATCATACAGGATTTATATAGCACCAACAGTCTGCACAGAACTTTACAATCTAAAGGGAGATAATAAAGGTACAATACAATAAAACACAAGAAGGTTAAAAGGGCCCTGCTCATATATAGTACATTTGTATTTTGGGCACAGAGATGCATAACACAAACCTACCCCTTGCTTGTATTGAATAGGGGCTGATTTAGGAAAGGACTTATTTTTACCCTGGCCTGATACCTGGTCAGGGTCATGGGAAATTAAACAAGATGATTTCCCCTAGCTGACTGGGTGCTTGGAATGCACAGAGTCTATATGGATCAGCCCACTTTTTACTATAGAAGTAATAGTCTTTATTCATCAAAGTATATGGATGATGTGCTTTTAAGCTCTTATCACCCAATCACATTCTACCTTTCTTTTACCCATGTAGAAATGGGAGATTGAAAAGAACTGATTGCTGTGGGCTATAATATATCTACCTGACAAAGTATCTGTCACCTGCTCAGGAACATTTGTTCATGCAGTGGTTCCCTAATTACACAAAGTATCATAGCTTTGCCAAATCTGTCAGAGCCCAGATTAATGTTGAAATGTAAGAATGCATTAATTCTGGGCACTGTGATTTTCCACTGCTGATTACTCATAAATAATATTTCTGCATTGTCTCAGATGTTTTCCTATTCCTGAGAAAATGCTCATTTCGGGAAGTTAAGAGTCTTTGTTTTAAACATAGGACAACTGGGTTGAAAAATACTGTCACTTAAAAAAAAAGAAGGATCTATATTCTCATGTTTTAGCTTTGTAAATTGAATTTAAATTAACTGTAACCTTTGCCATAATAATGCTGCTGTAATGGCACTACCCTGTTTCAATATTTGGTATTTTGCATTTTGGTTTAATTTCTTTATGACACTGGGTCACCCCAGTAACCTACAAGCTGGGCTGGTAAGTTGTAGTGAACCTTAGCAAGTGTCTCTGTGCAAGGCAGGCCCCTGACCCCTGACAGCAAAGGGCACTACACACTGGTCAGTTATTGTAACCCTTCAACCTACACATGTGGACCTGGTGCAAGGCTTCTCTTATCTTTTTATAACTGGCTACAAATGTAACAAGGCCATGGGACTTCTCTGTAGCTTCTGGTACAAGATATTCACAGGAGAGAAATTAAAACTGGTTTACATAACAAGTTATTTAAAAAAAAAAGCAGTGGTTTGCCAGGAGAAACGTTTACAGAATTATTAGGATTCACAACTATTTATCAATTGTGTGTGTGTGTGGGGGGGGGATTTTATATTTACAAAGTATATATTATTTTTTATTATGACAATTGTTTTGATTGTCATACCTTATCTAAATTATTATGCGTTCACTACACAGCAAATGCTGCATAAAATATGACTACTGCTACAACTTCAAAATATAATAATGAACTAAGCATAGCACATATCACAACCAGTTATTTACCATATTTACTCCCCCCCACCAAAAAAAAAAAAGGTTATGACAAAATAAATATTAAAATAGATTATTTTTTGAATCAATTTTCAGGGAATAGTTTAAACTTCTATAGATGATTGACTTAATACCCTTTCCCCCCTAATTTGTATGGGCTGATTTATTAAAGGAGTTGAGAATGTCCGCAATAATGAGTGTGTGAATATTTACATCAAGCACCAATCGTGCACATGAAATAAGTAAACAGGAATGTGCCTTTCACATTATTGCATCATCTCAGTTAGTAAATCAGTCTTATTCAGTTTGCCTTTAGGTATACATGTACACCACATAAACAAAATATTACTGCTACTAGGATTAATAATGATAATAATAATAATGATAATAATGATAATAAATATTATAGAAATGCATTCATGTTATCAGGTCATAACAGGAAGGTGAAAAAAAAAAGTACATTTTACACCAGCTGTGATATATTTGAGTTTCTTATAAAACACATGGAAAATGTATATCTATCTATCTATATAAATTTTTTAAAATATATATTTGTACATGTATTATACTATTCCAAAATTATTATAAAATATTCACATTTTATACAGACACACATCTAAGCACTATGGGGTTGATTTACTAAAACTAGAGCATGTAAAAATCATGGTAGCCAATTATCTTCTAACTTCAGCTTGTTGGAACAAGGTTGGAGAATAAAACCTGGAAGCTGATTGGTTTCTATGCAGAGTTGCACCAGATTTTGCACTCAACTTTCCTGTTTTAGAAAATAAACAGACACATCTATATCAGATTTGTATCCTTTTTTTTTCTTATTACTTTTTTGTGCCCTGAGTTTTACCCTGTGTATATGGGCAACAATAAACATATCAATATATATATATCAATATATATATATATATATATATATATATATATATATATGTAGTGGATTTTTTTTATATTTTTACCTTGTGCACCCTGAGTTTTTACCCGGGGCAATAATAAACATAACGTATACAAAAAAGACACTCAGTGGTTTATTGATCACTTACAACGATTTACACCTTCAAATATTAATTAATCTCCACAATTCTGGACAGAAGTGCACAACAAAACAAGTAGATGAAACACCTTCAAATGCTGAACAAGACAACAAATAAAAGGAGCAGGTTAGGGGCCCAGTCCCCAGCCGCAGAGGTCTGCTGCACTGGCACTGCGCTGCAGTCAGGATGGCAGAGCTCCTGGCACAGAGACTGGCCCTTTACCGAGAGGAAGCGATTCCTGTCAGTATATATCTTTTTATAATAATAATTATCATATCCCATAGGACAAGTACACTTCACATACATACGAATGCCAGGAAGCCGGGTGTCCTCGTACTGTGTTGTGTTTTCTGTACAAAACAGAGAAATACTGCAACAATCACAGGAGCCAGGGGCCCCTGCTATCAACCTGTAGATTCTTCTTCATATAATGGAATGCTTCTCTGCAGAAATCCACAAGGTGGGTGCTTTTTTAGGGGGGAGAGGGGGGATTGCACATAAATTAACAGGAGTTTATTTTTCAGAAAGTATCTTTGATATAAGTCTTCATTCTGTATCAGTTCAGAGGATGGATCATTGTTTAAGTTCCAGAGCCCATACATGCTGGGGCCAGCCAGTCCTCCCTTTCGTTTTCTTATCGTTGCTGCTAACTGTGCTTTTCAAGAGTTCATTCTGGGAGCAGGAGAGAAAAGAGAGAGAAAAACACACATTAACCATCAGCCATTCATAGCCCTACACCGCTCTCAGAGAACAGGGCCTGTTGCACAAGAGCTGACACTCACTTTCACTATCACTTTGTAGCAAACCTTCTAAGAATGAGAATCCCGTGTCTGTGCAATGCTAAAAATAAATCAAAATCACTCAAACCATATCAGTACATACGTGTGTATGTTCCCCTTCTACCGTTCTATCGTCCTCACCGGTACACAGTGTATACAAGCAGCTGCTGTAAGAAAACGTTTCTCTAAATAGAAAAATGTTAGCCTTACAAATAAGGCCGGGGGAAATATTTTTGTAAGACTGATTGAAAATGGAGATTTGTTTAAAGAAAATTATTTTTACTTTGCAGAAATGGCTTCACGGAAAATGTATTTCTCCATGATGGATGATAATTGTAATCTACACTAAACATTACATCCAACGATAAATACATTCACATGTGTATTGTGCAGATTACAGGGGGGAGGGGGGGGGGGGAACTCTGATCATATCAATTTATTTCTGGACCCAGATAACAAAACACGGCTCCAGGATCAGCACATCGAGCGATCGATTTATTATCTATCTATCTATCTATCTATCTATCTATCTATCTATCTATTTTTCTTTCTTTCTTTCATCACATTCTGAATATATATCCATACATTTTGTACATATTATATATTTTATTATACAAGTTATACATACATAAATAAATATTTGTGTTAAAGATACATTTACTAGAAATATGCCATCCAAATACATTTATATATTCATACAAGAGTGTCACTGTTTACTAAACACCTAGATGATATATACTTCCTGCAGTCACAATGATAGCCACAGCAGTATGTATTTAGAAATATTGTGCATAACATCTACTTTGAATTGCTATATTTCCCTGCTCTAAGGTTTTATTTTGCTTCTATCAATACATATATTTCACTTTAAAAATCACACACTTCCATATATTACTGCAATTAATGAAATACATTTTTACCTTTCAAAAAAAGAATATTAATATATAAAGCATAATGCACATAATTATTTGCAATAATGTTTATATTTTTTTTTTAATTTCTACATATTTGTACAGTGGTTTAGATTATGGTTCTCTTTTATTCCCTGTAGTGTTTATTGTATCTATATATTATTTTTTTTTTTTGTTGTTGTTGATACCTGCTGGCATATCTATCTATCTATCTATCTATCTATCTATCTATCTTCTATCTATCTATCTATCTATCTATCGATCTATCTATTTTTTTGTTTTTTTTTTTTTGTTTTATTTATTATTTTTTATATATGTATGTATGTATTTTTTATCTATCTTTGTTCAGCTATCTTTTTGTTGATACCTCTTGACATCTATCTATCTATCTATCTATCTATCTTTCTTTTTTTTTTTTTTTTCTAACTCTATGCATGTATCTATTTATCTATCATTTTGTTGATACCTCTTGGCATATCTATCCCTCTATTTTTTTTAATCTATCTATGTATACTTATCTATTAACTATCTCTTTGTATGTATGTATTTATCTATGTATCTTTTTTTTTAACTCTCTTTACATATCTATCGTCTATTTATCTTTTTGTTAAAACCTCTTGGCCTATTTATTTATCTATCTATCTATCTATCTATCTATCTATCTATCTAAAATCTATCTCTATATTTGTATGTCTGTATGTTTGTATTTATCTATGTACCTTTTTTATATCTATCTTTGTATATCTATCGTCTATCTTTTTGTTGATACCTCTTGGCTTCTGTATCTATTTATCTATCTCTATATAACTACTGATCTATATCTATCTATCTATCTATCTATCTATCTATCTATCTATCTATCTATCTATCTATCGATCTCTCTCTCTATCGATCTGTCCCTCGGCCAATCATGGGGAGATGTGGCTTGGGGAGTACTGACCAGCTCCTTCTTCCTCCTCTCCTCCTTGACATCTGTCTTCTTGATCTCGGCTTTGAAGGCCTCTGTCTCCCCGTTCTGGTCATCCTTGGCCAGCAGATCCATGAGGTAGGCGATGTAGCTTGTGGCCAGTCTCAGGGTTTTGATCTTGGACAGTTTGGTGTCGGCGGGCACATTGGGGATACACTCCCGAAGCTCAGCGAAGGCGCTGTTAATGCTCTGAGTCCTGCGCCTCTCTTTGCGGTTGGCAGTCCCCCTCCGCTTCACAGGCCTTTGCATCAAGCCTCCGGCCCCGCTTCCCGGGACACCCCCGTAATGGGAGTGGTCCAGGCCGGCCCGCGCCATTGGCGTACTCCGGGCTATAGGAAGGTGCCATGCTGTAGTCGGGGGGAGACATCTCGGGGTGGCTGATGAGCCAGCCGTGGAAATAGGGGTTATCTTCGTGGCAGCGGCTGGCGGCGGCGGCGGCTGCGGCGGCCGCGAACGGATAGCCATCGTGATGGACCACCGGATGGTGAGGAAATCCCCCGACTAGGCTCATGGCTCCTCTGCACCTTCTGCCAAGTCCTTTCCCTGGGAGCAGCAGGTCTGGGCTGAGGAATAGAAGACAAGTGGGGGGATGGATCGCCTATGTCCAGCTCTCCATAGATAGATCCCCGATCAGATCGCAGTGTCAATGGAGCAGCAGGCAACAATCAGATCGATTGAAGGATTCAAGTATTAGAAGGCATCAGGCATTGGATGGGAGCTGTCAAGGTCCTGCCATAACACAGCTGCATGAGGTGCAATCAAGTGATCTGTTACTTACAGCAGGTCTTGTCCATAGTCCCCAATGGGAAGTCCCCCCCCCAGATCACTGATCAGGTGTCACTGGGAGCTGTCATCCCTTCAATCCATAGACAGGGGAGCCCTCATCAGACACCTAGAGGAGACCTATCTCCCTGAGTCTTCCCCGCACCCCATACTGCAGCAGCAGGCAAGGCTCAGCACTGGCACTATATCCCAGCAAGATCTCCATGTACAGCTACATCTTCAGGGAGGCTGGGGTTAATATATGTCGTCAGAGGCCCGATCGGCCAATCCCGGAGAAGGAGGGGCGTGGCCGCGCACGTTCAGCCATAAACCTTTTTGATGTTCACTCTGCTAATTGTAGGACTTCTATTTCCTGATTGGCTGCCTCTGCACAACCATAATATCATTAAAACAAGAAAGGAGTCCTCCATCGACAGAGGTTAATGCAAGTGTGCAGCAGATGCTTTACTGTATACACACACACATGTATATGTATAGATTTATTGATGTACACTTATTGATACTAATCAATAAACTGGATAAACCCCATTCAGGTACAGTATCCTTTCTGGACAATTTAGTGTCATTATAGATGCTTTATTATTATCATGACATGTTATCATGTGTGATCATTTAGATACTTTATGTTGAATCTATTTTATTATTTTTTTTTTTTCTTTATTATATTTTTTTTAATTTCTTTATTATAACTTTTTTTTATTACAACATGTAGATGTAGCAAATGGTCATTGGTCAGTTTTATCTCTACTTCTCATACAGTTTTATATTTGATTCTGATTTGATGCTATCTCATTCATTTTATTTGTATGTCTATTTTATATTGCTTTGTTTATTACTTGCTGCCCAAAAGCATTGTACCTTTCGGGGAGTCCTTCAGAGCCTGATACTGATCTATGATTAGATACTTTATATTCTTTTGTATCCTGTTAAAACATATATCTTTATTTTATATTATAAGTTATAGATGTATCAGATGGTTACTGCACATTGCTTGTTATTTCTCTCTTTCTCATAAAGTTTGATATTTTCTTCTGATTTGATGCTACCTCCTATTCATTTTATTCTATCTCTTTTACACTGCATGCTTTGTTACTTGCTACCTTGCATCTTGCAGGGAGTCTACAGAGTATGTGTCTGTGTTGATCTATAATTAGATACTGTATATTGCATTTGGATATTTCATATCCTATTATAACTTTTTTCATTTCTTTATTATAACATTTTTATATCATAACATGCAGATGTCTCAGATGGTTATTGTACACTGCTCAGTTATTTCTCTCTTTCGCATAAAGCTTTATATTTTTTTTCTGATTTGATGCTATCTCCTATTCATTTTATTTTGTGTCTTTTATACTGCACGCTTTATTTGCCACCTTGCATCTTTCAGGAAGTCTACAGAGTATGTTTCTGTCCTGATCTATAATTAGATACTTTATATTGCATCTAGATACCTTATATCCTATTATAACTTTTTTTTTAATTTCTTTATTATAACATTTTATATTATCACATGTAGATGTATCAGATGGCTATTGTACATTGGTAATTTTTATTTTTCTCTTTCTTATAAAGCTGTATATTTTATTCTGATTTGATGCTACCTCCTATTCGTTTTATTTGATGTCAGTTTTATACTTATTGCTTTGTTACTTGCTACCTTGTATCTATCAGGGAGTCTACAGAGTATGTGCCTGTACTGATCTATAATTACTGATCCATAATTAATGACTCTTTTATGTTTCATTTACATTGTTAATAATTTGTGTCTAAATAATAAATGTCTTTCCAAGCATGTGTTCAGATCAGCAGGACACAGAAATATATACTAAAGGTGACCTGTCAGTCTCCTATTGCATGACTTACATTATGTTTGTTAATGTTATATGTAACATAAACTTTGGACGGTTCTTAATGTATTTAGGTATAAATGACCCGTTTATTTATAGGAACAGCATACAGAACGTGTTAAGCTATTCATTCAAGGCAACTGAGTGTCTATTTTATTATTATAGGATCATCCATTTCTACTGCCAGGGATGTTTAATGATACAATGACAGTGGCTGAGGGCTGTCCCACAATTTGGTATTGAAGCTGTACGTGTTATATAGCGCCTTCAGGAGCTGCTTCTACTGTCTGGGAAACAGAGACCATGTAATGTCTGTAATGATGAATATAGTGCTGGGAAATGTATAGTACTCATTGTGAGTCACAGGAAATATTTATAGATTGTATTGCAGTGGTCATTTATAATACACACACTTAACACCATAGGTTACCCATTGAATATAATGCCGTGTATACTGCATGTAACCCTCTGATCTCATTCAGAATAAGCGGAGCAGAGTGTGAGGATGGAGCCAGGAGTCATCACTCTTTCCCTGCCCAGTGGTACCATGGCAGCCTGGGCAGCAGTTGCTATGGCAGCAGAAGAAGACGCTGGATGTCACTATGCACACTACAACTTTGGGATGGTTCTCCAGCACATGCTGGCTGGTGGCCTGTCCATCACGTAGTTTTAGCCTTTCTAATAAACCGCAAAGTTCAGATAACATCTACAGTGGGGATAGAACCAAAACACCAGGCAGGGAAAGTCATAAAAATGGGCTTTTGATGTTTACTAATACATTAGCCACTAATAGACTAATAAGTATAAAGACATATGACTTATAGGACATCACAGCTAGAAAAATATAATGAAAATGAATCTAAATGAATTATAATAAAAGAAAAACACCAACTCTCTATAGTTTTGACGGCTCCTACTTGCAGTTACATGTACACATTCATATCAATGTCTGTTATGAATGTATGTTAGATATCAGATGTACTCTATTAGGTCATTTGGTGAGCATATTTATTTTTTAGTATTTGAGGGTTCCTATTGCCTAAAGTCTGTCTAAAATCTGGCCATACATTATACAATTGTCTTGTTCAATTTCCTTTTAGATTTACTTTCAAATATGTAGTGCAAGGGTTTGCCTGGTTGCATGCAAATTGTGTTTAGGTCTGACCTCATATTATTTGGTTTTGGTAACTCTAAAGCAAAATTATATAAGAAAATTGTATAATACATGGCCAGCCTAAGTAAGTACCCATTCCTCAATGATACTAGTATAGTCTTGTAGTCTACTATTTACAGTAATGCCTCTCACAGTGTAGACTTTGCATTATCTAATATATAATTTTATATATATATAATATATATATATATATATATATATATATATATATATATATATATATATATATATAAATATTTCTACAAACACACACACACATTAGATCTGTACACATGTACACATCTATACATTTATACTAAAGCATTATAAAGCTTCAGTCCAATGTACCAGAAATATTTATACACATACTTATATATGTACATGTACTACACACATACACACACACCTATATATGTAAATACACTGTGTCTGTGTCTGCATTTGCATCATATTTTGCTAGAAAAGTAGAAGAGAATATAAAGAGGTAATGGATTTGATCTGTGTTCATATGTATATTTGTGCTATGTATATGTAGGGTAGGCTACAAAGCTCAGTCATGATTATTATACAAAGGTTGTGACTTCACCTGATATTTCAGGTTGTCTTGCCGTTGCGATGCATGTAAGCTCAGAAATATAGAAAAGTTGGTCTCAGAGATTTTTTTTTGGTTCAGACATAATTGTAATACAGCAATCAAGTAGTCAATGTGATAAATGTTCGGCTTTGTAGTGAGCGCTGCAGGAATTCTTCAAAGTCTTGTATTTGTGGGTGGAATACCTATGTGAGGCAAGGCTAGGTAGATGCTGAAATTTGTACTAATCCATTGACTATGATAGCAGTAAATGAGCCCAGTGCCCGGGGCCGACACTCATAGTACCTGGAGGACGGAGTCCCTGATCAGGGTGATCAGGTGTATTCTGCTGTCATCATCTGTCACTGGGAGCGTTCGCTATAGCCGGATCACCTGCATTCACCTGGGTTCACGGCCAAACACCATGTGCTGTATAATATGACAACAAAAAGGAAAATATGGTTGTGAAGTCACAGAGGTAGCCTCTGATGACATGTCACATAGATAGCCATCCATACCTATTTGCTAAAAAAAATAAGAGGGAATTAAATGAAAATGTTCACTTTGCAAAGTGACTGCTAGTAAGTAAGGTGAAGCTGAGTAAAACGTAATAATGTGCAAGAGAAATATGTTATATAGCTCTCTATTTTTTGTAATTAAACCCCAATGGGGTTGGTTACCTTATGTATTCTTATCAACTACGCCATAACAAACACATAAACATATTAATACTCATTCTTGCTTTAGTGCACACTATGGGGTTGATTTACTAAGAGAAGAGTAAAAAAAACTCACGTAAATAAAGTAAATAAAATGAAGTTGTGTTCACTTTAATCATCCAATAATGAGCAAGGCAAAATCTTGTGTTTTATGTATTTCCCTGCCTGTTGGGTAAGCAAAGTGAACGCAGCTTCATTTTATTTCCTTTGCTAATTGAACAATTCATACGCAGTGATCTTTCCTTCTTTCTTCCTGGAAGCAATATAAAAATCCTAAAAAAAAAAAAACCCCAAGCACAAAAAAACAAAGAAACAACAAACAAAACAAAACAGAAAAAAACAAAAGAAAATCAACAAAACAAAATTGAAGCTATTACCCATAGCAACAAGTTGGATTCTATTTTTTTGATGGAATAAGAAACCTGGTTGCTATAT